GCGGAATTAAGTAGACGTTGTCGACGTCGATTTGACTATCTGTTCCGCCATTCTTTATCTTTGTTAAAACGTAATTATTAATTTCATCCGACGATACCAATGAACCATTTACATCAAGAACGGCACTAATGAAAAGAAATTATTATTTCTATGAAGGTTTTGTAAAAAAAATGATACATACCTATTGTTCATAGGGACACTATCTGATGTGCCGGATTCCATTGGATTTAATAAAGGATCTGGAACATAGCCAGCTCTTTCAGATACCTCCTGCTCCTTGTCACCAATTTTTTGTTCCATTGTTAACATGATGGATTCTGGTATGTCGTCTTCTGGCAATTGCATGATATTGTCTTCATTTATGTCAACGACCTTATAAAGTATATTGTATTTTTTTAACCAATAAAGAGCTTCGGCGATTTTTTCTTTCGGACTGTAAGAACTCTCTTAAGTTGAATGCGTTGAGAAGGCTGTGCACCAATAAATATTACTTTAAGCGTGTCGCATAAGTCGTTCATTGTCAGTGGTAAACTGTTAACAATATTTGGCATATTTTGGAGAAAAGTAATGCAGTTGTTGCTGTATGAAAAGGTGAGTGGAGTTTTATCACACAACTATTATGACGATGCAATGAGATCAAATTTTCTTCTCGGATTGTTAATCCTTGTAACTGGGTAGTTATATCACCCAACCACATGTTGTTCGCTGCTGAGAATTTCGGAATTTTCTCTTTGGAAAGAGCATGAGAACAATTTTGACCAATCGAACACATAGTTATCTCGTTGTCTTGAGATACCCCATTCTTATAAAGAACAACATCATTTTCAAAATAGAAAGGTAATGAATTTTTTAATGGGAGATCCTAAAAAATCATTAAAAGATTTACGTATGTCCTCAGAAGTCAGAAGCGGTTTTCTCTTTTCAAAGGTATTCAAAGTGTTGTATTGAATATTACCAGTAAAATGTTTTGGAATTGATAGTTGAATATTTGTAATTCAACCTTTTAATTCATTCGATACCTTGAGCAGATCCTTATGAGATATTGTCGAAGTTGGAACTATTTTGCATTGCTGTTTTGAACTACGAACATTACAGACTGCACAGGTCACTTCAGCAAGCTTGTCCATAGACATCTGTTGAAGAAATTGTTTTAAGCATTCTTCTTTTAATTCGCTGGATACGGGTGCTGGCCAAGTTAGAGAATCTTTTATTTTGTTCCTATTTGTGGCACTATCGTGACGTTCGATTCCATTCTTCGAGTTATGAGCAGGATATATATAGCCGTTATTCCCATATGCATGATCATGGATACCTTGTTGATGAACGAAAGTATTGTCGATCGCCAATTCATCCAATTTTTTATTAGTTCTATTCGATTGACTTCGTTCTCTTTGACGATCAATCCGAATCTGATATTCTTCCGCTGTTTCGTTCACTCGACTTGTTCGAGCATATTCCTTTTTCTGTTCTAGTCGACTTCGACGTTCTTCCTCTGATTCATTCATTCGAGCTGTTCGAGCGTATTCCTTTTTCTGTTCTAGTCGACTTCGACGTTCTTCCTCTGATTCATCCATTCGAGCTGCTCGAGCATACTCTTTTTTTTGCTCTAGTCGGCCTTGACGTTGTTCTTGTGTTTCATTAGCTCGTCGACTTCGTGCTGGCTCTCGATCTCTTCGCAGCCGATTTTGACGTTGAGCATCTGTCTCACTATTTCGTCTCAAACGAGCACGATCTTTCAGAGTGGTAAGTCGCATTTGATGCTGTCCTTCCCTTTCCATTTCATTTTGTTCCATGGTATCTAAATTGATGATTTGAACATGATCACTGTTTGTGCTAGTTTCACTACGTAAACGTCTACTAGGTGAAGACTGAAATTCAGGAATCCGTACATGAGAATTGTGATTATTCTTCGTTGTTTTCTTTTCAGGCGTCTGTGAAAAATAGAAATAAACATAACGACAATTTAAATCTGCACGTGAGAGTTTATCACTCACTTTGTTAATCAATTTCATTTGACTACCACTAACATATTCATGCCGTATACTTGGCAACATTGGAGGAACGAAATGATTCGGACTCCAATGATTATTATTCATTGGCCGTAGAATGGCTTCCCTGCGAACGTTTGACGATAAAATTTTTATTTCATACTTTCCAATAGTCGGTGGAATCGGCGTAAAGACAGAATTCATAATAGCCATATCGGCTCTAAAGTCAATTTCAGGATAAACACTTCGTATGTTACAGCGGACCACTGTGCACAGAGCACTAATTTCGTATAATTCCGAATATGTGTTGTTTTTGCACACACCTTTGATTGCTATATCGAAAGGGCCAATGACGGAAGCAAACATACTCGAATAATACGTTTCATTCGTAATGAGTTCGACTATAGTGCGGGCTAGAAATTGAAAAGCGTTTTCATGAACAAGTGCACTTTTGAACTATCAGTACCTCTTAACTCGCTGGTTGTCATTACAGAATTGTTCATCAAAAGAAGAACAGAATGATACAGACAATTTCCATCACCAGAGACATCTGCTGGGATAAGATGACGAACGTCAACGGATGCTTTTTCCAGATATTCTCTTGCCACGATATCGATCACATGAATCCTTTCATCAAAAGAATCGTTCGGAAAAAAATCAAGCGGCATCATAAACGCTTCCATCTAAATTGTAAAAACATCATTTCAACGATAGAGAACCCAGACAAATTTCTACCGTTTTGATTCGATCAACAGCACCATGAAGAACATCAAGATAAAAATCACCTTGTGTGCATTTTTCTAAATATTGGAGAAGTCGACTAAACTTCTGACCACGACTCATACCATCGCAGGATGGGAAACGACCATCTGTCGATTCCCCTTTCACAAATTAGGCACTCGGCCATTATTACTTCGTTGAATAGTAGCAACAAAGATTTACGTTATCTGAAACAAACAGCAGCCCGTTATTACATTCATATTTTACTATTCACCGTACTACAACGCGTTTAAGAATCCCTTGTATCATTCATTCCTCCAACAGATATACATAGAGACCATGGAAAAAATACAGTGCATCTGCATCCATTTGCGAATACTGTTATGATACGAGGTATCATGACATCTATTTTCCTGACTATTTCTTTCTCATTTCTTTGTTGCCGGTTCTATATATGTTGTGAAATAAATCGAACTAGTCAGTTATGCTTCGATAGTAACATCGAACACACGTCTCTTTCTTTTCACTCTCGAACATCGAGCATAACAGTGGNTAACAATATTTGGCATATTTTGGAGAAAAGTAATGCAATTGCCTTTCAACGCCCCCTGTGCAGTTGTTGCTGTATGAAAAGGTGAGTGGAGTTTTATCACACAACTATTATGACGATGCAATGAGATCAACTTTTGTTCTGGGATTGTTAATCCTTGTAACTGGGTAGGCATGTCACCTAACCACATGTTGTTCGCTGCTGAGAATTTCGGAATTTTCTCTTTGGAAAGAGCATCAGAACAATTTTGACAAATCGAACACATAGTTATCTGGTTATCTTGAGATACCCCATTCTTATAAAGAACAATATCATTTTCAAAATAGAAAGGTAATGAATTTTGAATGGAAGATCCTAAAAAATCATAAAAAACTTTACGTATGTCTTCAGAAGTCATAAGCGCTTTTTCTCTTTTCAAAGGTATTCAAAGTGTTGTATTGAATATTACCAGTAAAATGTTTTAGAATTGATAGTTGAATATTTGTAATTAAACCTTTTAATTCATCAGATACTTTAAGCAGATCCTTGTGAGATATTGTCGAAGTTGGAACTATTTTGCATTGCTGTTTTGAACTACGAACATTACAGACTGCACAGGTCACTTCAGCAAGCTTGTCCATAGACATCTGTTGAAGAAATCGTTTTAAGCATTCTTCTTTTAATTCACTGGATACCGGTGCTGGCCAAGTTAGAGAATCTTTTATTTTGTTCCTATTTGTGGCACCATCGTGACGTTCGATTCCATTCTTCGAGTTATGAGCAGGACATATATAGCCGTTATTCCCATATGCATGATCATGGATACCTTGTTGATGAACGAAAGTATTATCGATCGCCAATTCATCCAATTTTTTATTAGTTCTATTCGATTGACTTCGTTCTCTTTGACGATCAATCCGAATCTGATATTCTTCCGCTGTTTCGTTCACTCGACTTGTTCGAGCATATTCCTTTTTCTGTTCTAGTCGACTTCGACGTTCTTCCTCTGATTCATTCATTCGAGCTGTTCGAGCATACTCTTTTTTTTGCTCCAGTCGACCTTGACGTTGTTCTTGTGTTTCATTAGCTCGTCGACTTCGTGCTCGCTCTCGATCTCGATCTCTTCGCAGCCGATTTTGACGTTGAGCATCTGTCTCACTACTGCGTCTCAAACGAGCACGATCTTTTAGAGTGATAAGTTGCATTTGATGCTGGCCTTCCCTTTCCATTTCATTTTGTTCCATGGTATCTAAATTGATGATTTGAACATGATTACTGTTTGTGCTAGTTTCGCTACGTAAACGTCTACTAGGTGAAGACTGAAATTCAGGAATCCGTACATGAGAATTGCGATTATTCTTCGTTGTTTTCTTTTCAGGCGTCTGTGAAAAATAGAAACAAACATAACGACAATTCAGATCTGCACATGCGAGTTTATCACTCACTTTGTTAATCAATTTCATTTGACTACCATCAACATATTCATGCCGTATACTTGCCGACATTAGAGGAACGAAATGATTCGGACTCCAATGATTATTATTCATTGACCGTAGAATTGCTTCCCTGCGAACGTTTGACCATAAAATTTTTATTTCATACTTTCCAATAGTCGGTGGAATCGGCTTAAAGACAGAATTCATAATAGCCATATCGGCTCTAAAGTCAATTTCAGGATAAACACTTCGTATGTTACAGCTGACCACTGTGCACAGAGCACTAATTTCGTATAATTCCGAATATGTGTTGTTTTTGCACACAACTTTGATAGCTATATCGAAGGGACCAATGACGGAAGCAAACATACTCGAATAATACGTTTCATTCGTAATGAGTTCGACTATAGTGCGGACTAGAAATCGAAAAAAATTTTCATGAAGAAGTACACTTTTGAAACATCAGTACCTCTCAACTCGCTGGTTGTCATTACAGAATTGTTCGTCAAAAGAAGAACAGAATGATAGAGACAATTTCCATCACCCGAGACATCTGCTGGGATAAGATGACGAACGTCAACGGATGCTTTTTCCAGATATTCTCTTGCCACGATATCGATAACATGAATCCTTTGATCAAAAGAATCCTTCGGAAAAAAGTCTAGCGGCATCATGAACACATCCATCTAAATTGTAAAAACATCCTTTCAACGATAAAAAACTCAAATAAATTTCTACCATTTTGATTCGATCAACAGCACAATGAAGAACATCAAGATAAAAATCACCTTGTGTGCATTTTTCTAAATATTGGAGCAGTCGACTAAACTTCTGACCACGACTCATACGATCACAGGATGGACAACAACCATCTGTCGATTCCCTTTCACAAAATAAGCACCCGACCATTATTACTTCGTTGGATAGTAGCAACAAAGATTTACGTTATCTGAAACAAACAGCAGCCCGTTATTACATTCATATTTTACTATTCACCGTACTACACCACGATTAAGAATCCCTTGTATCATTCATTCCTCCAACAGTTATACATAGAAACCATGAAAAAAATACAGTGCATCTACATCCACTTGCGAATACAACCTACGAACGACGATCCTTTCAACGCAGACCCATTTCACAAGGTATTTCCCCTTTTATCTCCATTTTTCTAGCACACGGCATCGCAATGAGCAGGTAGAAATCGTTCGCCACCACACGATCCATATGTACCAATACCAAGAATAGTGCAAATGACACCAATCGGTACCTATTTATATACTAAAAAATGGCTCTTTCATGCAACACCTCCAATATCATCATAAAAATTTTTTTCGCAAGTCATTTTTCTTGATTTAGGTCCAATCGACGCAACGACACGAACCAAAGATGGTCGACATCGTTTCGAATGAGCAGATGTGCCGTTCGATGCTATTGGAATCATCTAAACGGTCGAAATTCACTTTTTCATGTCAGCTGTGTAACGTATGTTTCATCATTTAGCTTAAAGAGAGAGAAGACTTTTTTGCGAACGATGTTTGCTTGTTTCGGTTGAATCGGCTGAACAATATGGAATCGAGCGGTCAGATATTGTTCAGAATCAGTAGTTATGGGAGTAGTTGGAGAACATTTCGAAAAAATTATGGCTTTTGTGTTGGCGCTTAAATGTTGTGTAGGATATGTATGTGTTTGTGCATTACTTTTTGAATTTGTTCTGAGAAGTTTAGCTGAGGTAATTTCTCTCAAGTATGTTGAGTTGTTGGAGTCTGTTGTTTGACATTTTAGTCCTGACTGCTGCTGTTTTAGGTATGTTATGCGAGGCTCCCACGGTGTTTCAAGTTTGGGCAATGTTTAGGTAGACGAAAAGAGAAGAGCTTGTTTATTGAAAAAAGCATACAATGACTAAGCGTTGAAATAATTTTTACAGTAAGAGATGTGTTTATTTTTTAAACTGGTTTGCGCATCATTGAGGTGGGCTGTGTGAGGATGGATGATGATTGATATTTAGGTTGGAATCGGCAGCGTTGGGGACATTCTCTTGGACTACATTTTCCATGTAGGGAACAAATGCAGGGACCTGTTTAATGAGAAAAGGTTTGTGTAGGTTGTTGTGTAAGAGGTGGTGTAGGTGAGTTCTGTTTATTACGGTAGTATGAACACGAGAACGCACGCGCAGATAAACGTAAGAGAGAAGAGAGAGAACGGTGATAGAGGGCGGAAGGTGAGTGCTAAGAACGACAAGAAACACGCGTATATATATGTGTGTACACTGGATAATCCCAACATATGTTAAGCATATGTGAAGGAAAACTCCAACACATGACGTAATGGAATAGTCCATCCAACA